ACTGCACTCCAGTCTGGGCGACAGAGTGAGACTCCAACTCAAAAAAAAAGAAAGAAAAAGGGCCAGTTAGGAAAAGGTACATGAAAAGAGAGAAAGCCAGGGAAAAGGGAACAAGTATGGCTTTTGTCTGGAACTTGCACCTTGCAGCCCTGTTTCTTCAGGTAAAATGGAGTTTTACCAGAGACCCACCCTAATTGTCTGCCTAACAATTTTCTTCCTTACTCCTCTCTCAAAAAGACTTGCCAGGAACAAGGCATGCTGCCATTGTGGTCCAGCATCAGCAGAGCATGCAGATGCAGGGCTCAGGCCTAGTTGGCCTGACCACCTGGTGTGCAAGGACATACCTCTGAGCTCTGAGCCGTCTTAGGACCACGGGTCCCCAAGGGGGCAGCCAGGGCAGACCCTGGGATTAGATTGGTGAAGACAGCTACATAGAAGTAGCAATGGCTGCAGCAGTGGAGAGAAGAGAAACTCCACATGAGGGCAGGGCTAAGCCCAGGGATGGGAGACTCACTTGCCTCTTCATCCCTGGAGCTTGTCCCTGTAGCATCTGTGTAAACAGTAAGGTTTGAACGCATTTGCTGGGACAGAAACTACTGGCAATCAGGTAGTAAACTTTGTCAGCAAGTTATTACCCAAAAAAAGCTTACACATAGACATTTCCATAAAGTATATCAGATAGTCACTAAAATTTTTCAGAATTTGAAATTCTTGCTTCTGAAAATCACAACATAGCAAAACAAGTATCCATGAACTTAGAAAAAGGAATAAAATTTTAAAGCCATCACATTTTATGGAAAAGAATGCTATTTTTGTTATTTTTAAAAAAGCTTCAGATGAACTGATTATTTAAGGTAATAACTTAATTTTTTTTTTTTTTTGAGTTGGAATCTTACTCTGTCGCCCGGACTGGAGTGCAGTGTCAGGCTCCCAGCCACCACAGCCTCAATCTACTGGGCTCTGGCAATCCTTCCACCTCAGCCTTCCAAGTAGCCAAAACTACAGGTGCTCATTGCCACACCCAGCTAATTTTTTTATTTATTGTAGAGACGAGTAACCAGGGTGGGTCTTGAACCTGCGGGTTCAGGCAATCCACTCGCCTCGGCCTCCCAAAGTGCTGGTATTACAGGCTAAGCCACCGAGCCCAGCCTAACTTTTTTTAATTGAAGATATAACAATAGCATGCATAAACAAATATTTTGAATTATTTACAAATAATGAAGACATTTTCAAGTTATTAGAAATATCAGAAGAAACATTAAGATGCCGCCAGGTACAGTGGCTTAAACCTGTAATCCCAGCACTTTGGGAGGTCAAGGCGAGAGAATTGCCTGAGCTCAGGGGTTAAGAACAACCTGGGCAACTTGGTGAGACCTCTTCTCTACAGTAAATCACAAAAATTAGGTGGGTGCGGTAGCTTGCACCTGTAATTCCAGCTACTTGGAAGGCCAAGGCAGAAGGATCACCTGAACCCAACTGGTCAAGGCTGCAGTGAGTGTGAACATGCCACTGCACTCTAGCCTGGGCAACAGAGTGAGACTCTGACTCAAAAAAAAAAAAAAAATTAAGATGCCATTGTATAAATTTACACTTAAAATTTAATTCAGAATTACACAAAACTGATTTGTATGAAAAGTTCAATCTTTTTAGAAAAGTTGTTTTGCTGAAATCATCAACTCCAGGTACACTAAAAGCTATATTTTAAGATAATTTATTAGAAAATTATCCCAATGCTGTCACAGTCTATAAAACACAAATAATAGTTGCATCAGAAAAACGATGCATCTCAGAATTAAAAGTTGTCAAATATTACTTGAGATCTTGAATTTTCCAAGAGTGATTGGCATCGCTTTCAACCATATTGACTGAAAATGAAGTTACTGAGACTTTCAGTTTTTGATCCAGTATGTAGGAACTTGGAAGTCACTACTCCATCCTAACAAGTAAAAAACAGAACAAACTGAAAAATTAATAATTCTTCTTAGATTTTTAAGAAAAGTAAGATCACAGGGCAACACTGCAACCCAGATTGAAGAAACCAATAGGCGAAGACAGAGAATCACAATTTACCAAAGCAGAAGCCCACAGCAGAAACGTCTGTGGAAAGCAGCATCAGAGAAGGAAAGCCTACCCTGTAACTAACACATTGCTGGAGACTCAGTGTAGACAAGTCTGAGAGAGAGAAACTCCAGGAAGACACTGTCATCAGGTGATTCCCCACATTTTTGTGAGTTTTACCTCCTAGAGTTTCACCATGAATATTGAAAAAAAAAAATCCTCTTGTGCTTCTAACAAGAGGAGGGAAAAGGAACAATTTTAAAATACCCCAGAGCATTCTTTTGTTGTCTTTAACAAAGTCTGCCCTCATAACAGTGCCTAACCTCTGACCTCTGGGGGGTTTTATCAGAGACTAACTGACCTGAGGGAATGGAAGTACTCAACTCTG